TGACATTGTTTTAGCTGTTAGATTGTTTACTTAAATGCTGTATATTAGCAATATATTCATTCATTCATTCATTCATTCATTCATTCATTCATTTAAACAACTTATATGCTGCCCCATCGCATGAGCCTCGGGGCAGCTTACAATCATAAAATCATCAAATAATTAAAATACATAGAATAAAATACAGAAAATAAAATAGAATAGAATAGTGGACCCAGCCTGGTCAATTTGAAATAAACCATTAACAGTTAAAATAGCGTTTAAATAAAATAGTATACATACTATGCTAAGGGTTAGGGTTAGATAGAAAAATACTATTGATGTAGATATTGATATTAAAACAGCACCTATTTCTGCATAAAAAGGGATGCAGAAGGGTATTTGGGAGGCATGGAATTCCCCACCAGGACCTCTGCTGGCTAAATAATGTAACAGACACCACATGTTATAGTCCTCCCCTGTTCTAGGAGAGGCATCGTTTCCCAGGTGGAGAAACGCATTTGGGTAGCACTGGAAGGACCCCCCTTTCAGAACGGGGCCATTCTCTGTGCCGAAGCGTGATGCCTTGGTGGGCACCAGAGGGACCCCTCCTCTTCCCAGTGCTGGCCCTTCAGCTGCATCCCTCCAGTCGGAGACCCGCCACTGCTGCTCCACCCAGGGAAGGGCGACTGGCATGAAGGCAGGGGGGTTCTTGCCATTCCTGAATGCCTAGCATTCCATCCAGGGCTGGAGTTCATCCAGAAGGGGGCATGGAGGCCAAGCCAACCTGCTGGAAGAACCTTAGGCGTCTGTGGCTGGATGGGGTGTGCATGTGGAGGGACGGATCCAGCTCACGGGCTGGTGGTCCTGCACTCTTGTTTCATAAGGTTCTTAAGCCTCAAACTTGGTGTAGAATGGCAGGAGATTGTGCTATACCCATCAGGCCATTTAATTCTGCATTGTCTGCACTGACTGACTGAGACTCTCTGGGGTGTCTTTTCCGGCCCTAGCCTACCCTGCAGATGCCAGAGCTCGAAACCAAGGCCACTCACATGCAAAACAGAATCGTAGAAAGAAACAGTCGGAAGGGGCCCAGGAGGCCTTCAGGTCCAACCACCTGCAGTCTCCCATCCAGGTTTCAACCTGGCCCGACCTTGCTTAGCTTCCAAGATTGAGCCATGGCCCTTCCATGGAGGACAGAGAGCCAGAAGGTGCAGGCCATCCACAGAGTAAATACAGGACCCGTGTGCCTGGCAGGTGGGACAACCAGCCCAAGGGGAGCCCTGCTCCTGTGGAGCTTGCGTGGGTCCTTCAAAGGACTCGGAACAGCTCCCCTGGTTTGCCAGGCAGCCTCCAGTCCAGGTATTGACCACGCTTGCAGTGTGCTTGTTCCAGCTCCAGTGGATGATTAAGAAATTAAATCAAAAGGAGGTCAAACTGACCTACTTGCACAAGCGCTTAACTGGCTGCCTGTTTAATCAAGTTTCCCTGCATGTTCCACCCCCGGGCTGAGTCATTTTGTCGGCTAAACTGCCTTTTCTGGTTCCATCGCTGTGGCTGAGCCGCTTCGGAGCCAGCCCCCTTGCAAACCCACCTTGGGTTAAAGTCATGGCTGGAATCATTGCTTTCAATGGGATAGGTGGCACTGAAGAACTCAACCCGCTTGTGGTTGTGCAGCTTTGGTGGACCTCAGCGCCGTGAGAGTCAAAGGTGGGCTGAATCGGAGGTTCTTTAATGGCTTCTACTTTGAAAGTGGGCCGTGAGACACACCCTAAAAAAGCAGAAAAACTGCATGTGGATATACATTCAAAGGCAGAGAAATCGGCATGAAATAAAGCTGTACGTTTGCAGAAACGGCAGCTGCATTTTACATCTTTCGGCCCTGTCTGGGGCCAATTTCTCTGCCTTAAAAATGCACATCACGGCTTACTTTGAAAGCGGCAGACGTCCTGCTGGCTAAATTCACGCTGAAGCAAGTTGCCAGCAATGGTGGGCAGGTGGGCTCACATCCAGCGGGTGGCTGGGCCAAAAGGACAGGGTTGAGCCCCCCAAGCAGATGCCTCACACATCTCCCAAGCTGCGGATTCTGCCTTGAGCTCCTGCCTTTAATCAGGAGCCAAAATATGGCGCACCTTTTCTAGGGAGGCCCACCTGGCACCTGCTTTGCCGATTTCTAACTCCAGGCCAAGAGCTTTTATTCTCCCAGACTAATTTTTGCAATTGCCACTTGCTTCATTCTCAGAACATGCAACACAGTAGATTAAAATAACAATCTCTTTCCAGCCAGTTGCTGTTCTCTTTCCACGCTGAGCATTACTTTTAAAGTAATGCTTTTTAATATGTGTTTATTACTGGTTTTTAATACTGGCTGGACTGCTTTTGTTTCAATTGGATATTTCACTGTCAACCAGTGTAGCATACTGGTTGAACTGGGGCCTGGGAGATCCATGGGCCAGGCCCCTCTCAGTCATGAAGCTCACTGGAGAGCATTGGGCCAGTTGCTCGGTCTCAAGCGAATCTACCTCACAGGGTTGTTGTTACGAAAATAAAATGAGAGGGGGAGAGCCTTGTAAACTGTGTTGGTTTCCTTGCAAGAGGAAGAAAGATGGGGAATATATGAGAAAACTGAGGCTGTCCTACTTCATGAGAAGGCAAAACTCTCCAAGGAAGACAATCAGGGAAAATTGGAGGCAGAAAATGAAGAGAAAGACCCAGTCTGAAATCGATGGGCTCCAGCAAGGAAACGACAGGTGGGAATTGACAAGAGCTGAGCGGGGCTGTCCTGGTCAGGACCTGCTGGAGAGCTTTTGTGCATAAGCTGGAGATGACTAGATGGCACATAACCGCAACAGCAGCAACATTCTGACAGCTCCGGCTATAGAGGAACTCATTCTCTGAGGGTTGTTTAGGAAGAAAGTTGTCAATTGTCAACTCGGCTTCACAAGACTCCTTTGCAGAGGAACCCCGCACCCCAAATCAACCAATAAGCCCCACATTGTTTCAGCAGATGCAGAAAATTGCTGGACTGTTACGGATCTCGGGGTGGTGTGGCGTGGAAGCCCGTGGGAATGAGGTACCTTGGAAGGACCCTTCCCAGGAAGACTCCGTCCTGCTACATTTCTCTAATCACCATTTCGATTTTGATGGGAAAGGGGGAAGGATTGCTTTCTGCACTCTGCGTGACCTCCCAAGAGGGAGCCGTGAAGAGATCGCCACATGTTGCTGAATATTTATCCCTCTGGTGTGGAAACAAGATGCGTAGAATAAACCCGCCACCTGTTCCGCAGGTCAATTTCACCATGTTTTGATCTTTCTGGGTTCATTTCTCCTCTTCCTACCGCCCGTGAAAGAGAACAAATCAATAGCTCGTAACATTCTGCCATGAATAGGGAAGAGAAAAGGGAGCAGAGCACAGAAGCCAAAAGGAGGAGGATATTCATGGTCCTTTGAAGCGAATTCACGTCATATGTTCTGTACAGGTCTGATTTGGTGGTTGCATTATAGCCCCTTGGCTAAAATGAATCGATTTTCCCAACATGGAGCGGTGTAGCTTTGAGGGATGGATTGATCTCAGGATAAAGCTTTTGCAAACTTGATGGAATGAAAGGCTGGCCTCTGCGGATGTGTGGGCCCCTGGATTATGCTCCAGAGATGTGCAGTGCTGAGCCATTCTTGTGTAAGAGTTGCGAGATATTGCCCAGTTGTGATGGTCTTTTGTGTGCATCTTTTCTACCCTGCTTCAGAGATCAGTTGTGTATGTTCTTCATGTTTTGGTAAGAAAATAGATGAACGTGCTTTGAATTGCCATGAAAACATTGCAAAGTTGGGAGGGATGCCCATTATTGACTAAGTCCCGGGGTGTTGACTTTTCCCTGTTGCTTCCTTTCTGTCAAATTTCTCCCTTGTGATCTGATTAATCTTATGGGAACACCAGATAGCAACCGGCAAGGGACCCTTCCAAGCCTTCGTTCTGGTCAGAATGTGCGTGCATGAGGAGGAGACAGGCCTTGCTCTAACCTATCAATATTCAGGACAAATTACGATATCTTTTTGCACCAGTATCCCAGCCCCCACCGCCGTTCATGCTCCGTTGCTGTTAGAGATCCACAAACAGCAAGGAAAGTCAGGATCCTGGATCAGGATTTTTGGGAAGTCCGTAGGGATGGGAGAGAAATCTGCTCAGTTTGCATTTTAATGCTGACCTACTATGCTCCTTAAGCTGAACCGCCGTGCAAACCCAGGCTTGGCGACCCTTCAAAATTCAGGCTTCTCCAAATTTGACAGTGAAATTCTGCAATCATAAAAATCATGATTGTATATATGTCAGGGATAATAACATTAAAACTTCATTTATTGGGGAAAATGGAAAGAAAATGGTGGTATTAGGAGAAAGGTGGACAAAAATGCTTCTGAATGTCAGTGTGAGCTTGAAAAAAAATTGACAGTGCAAGATGAGCCAGATTTAAGATGGGGGGAAATGAGAAGCTGAATGAAACCCACACTGATAAATGTGTGCATCCTTAAGTTGTGTGTGTGCAATGAGGATGTGTATGTTCACGGTCCCCAACTACCAGTGTGAGATGAGTCCTCCGGGACTGAAAAAGTTGGGCATTCAAGTCTATCGCATGCCACAACACAAGAACAAGTCACCATGCAAAATAAAGATAATGTCATTATGAATTGTGGGCTCTGAATACCAAGAGCACCAGAACTGAGTCACAGAATAAATATTAAAGGCTATCTGCTTATTGATGGTTGAATAATAGAGCAATCATGAACCCATACATGCTCAACAGAGGGGAAAGAAGAGGATCTATCTATCTATCTATCTATCTATCTATCTATCTATCTATCTATCTATCATCTCTACTCCACCCCCCACCACCATCTCTGATGACAGGAATGCAAAGTAGCACCTTTGTGATCTAATTGTATGAAAATTAAATGAGGAAACGGTTCCTAGGGAGAAAAGCAGCAAGGTGTCCATTCATCCGGCCCATTTCTCTCGCCCTCGCTTCCAGGGTCAAGCACAGTCTCGTCCCGAGTGCGATTTCATCATGGAGTGGAAGCAAAATGAGAGCAATTGCTTAAGGGAGATTGATCAGCATGTGAATGCAACGGCAGGTACCCTTGGGGCAAGGTGTTTGGGGAATGGGAAACTGGAGGGTGTGTGGGGTGGGGAAGTCACAGAGAGAGAGAGAGAGAGAGAGAGAGAGAGAGAGAGAGAGACTTTATTTCCATAGAATTACAGACCAGGAGTAAAGAATCCCATTCACTTTGAGGGCCAAATTCCATTCTGCAAAATCTTGCGGGGGCTGCATTCTAGAGCTGGGTTTATTATTTATTTATATATTTATTTCGGTAACTTCAATGACACCCCATTTGTCGAAGCCTTGGGGCGGCTCACAAACATAAATAAATAACATCCTATAAAACAATATAATTTAACAGTGTAAATTAAGTCACCCTGGCCAAAAGAACAAGAATAAAATAAATAAATAATATTAACAATTAAAATAACGTTTGAATAAAAAGGTCTTGGCCTGGCGCCGAAAAACAAATGACGATGGCGCCAGGCGGACCTCTCTGGGGAGCGCATTCCATAGATTGGGCGCCACCGCAGAGAAGGCCCTCCTCCGGGTACTCACCCTCCTAATGTCCTTCACGGAGGGTTCCCGGAGGAGGGCCTCTCCCACAGATCTCGAGGGGCGGGCGGGCATGTATTCAGAGCATTTGTATGCTGTCCCATCGCATAGCCTCAAACAGACTGTGCAACCTTTGGGTTGAGCCCCAAACAGACACAGCAACAATGAAACAAACAGACACACAAATGCACAGACAACGCAGGGTATTGCAGCTTAAAGTCCTTACTGCCAGTGGCTGCATAAATATTAGGAAGGGCAGCTCAGCCTTTCTAAGACAGGAGAAAGAACTGCAGCAAAACCTGGAGTACCCAAGACGATCAATGGCTGGGGGGGAAAGGGGTTAATCCCAGGGAACATGTGGGGCTTTCTGAGAACTCCGAGGGCCAGTGCAACGTGTGCTTGCAAGCACACACCCAGACAATCTTTAGTTCTATATTCTGCTCGGAAGATGTGTAATCGACGTTAGGATACTGCAGCATGAGCTGCAGTTGGCTCCCTTTGTTTAACTTTCGTGACGGACTGGGCAGGTAGGATGCCTCATGGACAACCTCGGTGATCCTGGGTTTGTAGTCCCCTTCTGATGTATTTACTGCAGTGCTACGTAGGAACAGGCTTGCGTACTGTCCGGGCAGTGCAAATGGCCAAAATGGGCCTTCCTGGCTGGGTAAACTGCGGACACCATATTAAAGGTCAAGGTTTCCCCTTGACGTGAAGTCCAGTCATGCCAGACTCTAGGGGGCGGTGCTCGTCTCCCTTTCCCAGCCAAGGGAGCCAGCGTTTGTCTGCAGACAGTCTCCGTGCTCATGTGGCCGGCATGGCTAAACACCGAAGTGCACGGAATGCTGTTACCTGCCCACCGAAGTGGTACCTTTTCATCTACTTGCATTTGCATGCTTTCGAGCTGCAAGGTTGGCAGGAGCTGGGACGGAGCAACAGGAGCTCACCCCGTTGTGCAGATTTGAACCGGCGACCTTTCGATCTACCAGCCCAGCAGCACAGTAGTTTAAGCCACTGCGCCACCTGCAGTCCCTGGACGCTCGTGAAGTAGTGCCTGTTATGCTATAAAGGGGAGATCCTGTTAAGTGTCAGACTAGATGGCCCTGGAGGCCCCTTCTGACTCGCTCTGTTTCTACGTTTCTAAGTGATGTGACTGCAGACCAGGCAAATGCTATTTCGGGCTGCTTTTGAGCTGTATCACCTCCAAATCCCATGCAGTAGTAGTTTCCTGTTCCTCAGCAGTGGTCAGACCTCACCGATTCATTCTGGCTGCAAATTAAAACCTATATTGAACATTATTAAAATATCGTTTAAATAAAAAGGTCTTACGCTGGCACCGAAAAACAAATAACGACTAAAGTAAAAAAACAAATTTAGTCTTTGGAGCTGGGACAGAGCAACGGGAACTCACCCCGTTGTGCAGATTCAAACCGGCGACCTTTCGATCTACCAGCCCAGCAGCACAGCGGTTTAAACCACTGCGCCACCTGCGGTCCCTATTAGACAAATCCAAACAGGGCCTGCATTTTGACAGCCAAAATAATCAGACCCTTGAGGGTTATCCTGAGTGCTGGGTTCATATACCCGTGCAAACGAAAGACAGAATGCACAAATGCTGGCACTTGTGCTATTAACAGTGGCCTTTCACAAGCAGATCTTGGTGATAACGCAGAGTGAGACTCGCTCAAGCGGTTGGTGGGGCACAATTTGTCCAGGAGTGGGGGAGAGGAAGTACATTTTCAACAGCCATTTTAACTCCCTTTGCGAGGTTGCAAGAGGATATGGGACCAGGTTCTGTGCTGGCCGGATGCAAACCCTGGACAAACACTCACTTTTACCTGCCCGGGCATCTTCTTCCATTTCACACAGCAACCAGGTAAGGAGGATGGTGGCACAGGGGAACGGGGAGGGCTTTGTTTTTTTATGTTTGCTTTTTATTTTTGGTTCTCCGTTGCAGTCCTCTGCTCCTGCTTTCCAAACATCCCTTTTCTAGTGCCCTGAAAAATGCCACAGCTTTGGTGGTGATGGTGACATGCACAGAGAGGGTTCTCAAGATCCTGCTCCACCCCTGTTTGTGTGTGGCCCCAGACTGCCGACAGAGACGCAGTCCTGGAAGGAAAGGCGCCGTCTGATTTTGTTCGCTCTGGTTTTCATAGGCTTGGTCAAGAGGAACTGCACGGCTCAGGGCTGGACCGACCCGTTTCCACCATATTCAATTGCATGTCCGGTGGATGACGATGCTACTCTTGGCGAAGTGAGTGGAGCCACAGGGGTGACTGATGGAGATGACACTTGCAAGGGTCTAGAGAAAGGAGGCAGTGCCACCTCCAGGTAGTAAGAGGAAGGAAGGGAGTTGTGCCCCTTGGCATACCAAGCAGGGGTGTGAAAAATATCATTCTGCTGCACCTTTTTTTTTTATAAACATGAATTATAAGGTGGGATCTCGTTGAATGAATGCAATTAGCTGCTGGAAATCCATACAGTTTTGAGTGTGGGGCCAGTTCCACAATCACATGCAAAATCATTAAAAAACATTTGCATATTTGAAAACTGTGCTAAGAAAAATATGCACATTTCCAAAAAGTGCACAAACACGCTTTGGTCAATGGATACTTTTATCCATTATTTATGGTTCATCCGTTGTTTAGAGTTTTCCTATATTGTATCTTGCACAGAGAAATTGAGATATTGGGCTGTTTAGCAGTATAAGGGGAACATGCAATCTACAGGTACAGAATCTACAAGAACTAAATTTACTTGTAGTTCTACAAATACAAAAATACGTCTGCATCTACCCAAAAAGTGCCTGTGTGAATGCATGCATTACAACAGTGTGTGTAAATTTCTTTATAGATGGCTCTGATGCTTTGCTTGCTTGCTTGCTTGCTTGGTTTTTAAAAAACAGCAAGCTTGTGTGGAAATGGAGTAGAATGAGCTTTACCCTAATTAAGGGCAAGATCCCATACATGTTTAGGCAGGTGAAAGAAGGGAAGGCCTGCAACCATGCTGGCTGAAGCATGATGGGAGTTGTAGTTGCAGGCCATTCTCTGTCTGCACATCCATCCGACTGCACCTTATAATAGCTCCATGGCTAGGATTTGACTTCTGGCAGGCACTCTTGCGTTGGTACATTTGGGGTCAGGAAAAGAATTTCCTCTCTATTATTTGGCCATGACCCTTTATCCAAATAGCTCAGCAGGCCTCAAGTGAGTCAACTAACTTGTCCCATTGATTTCAGTGGATCTACTCTGAGCATAACCCAACTCTGGATCCAACCAATAATGCAGAACATCACCAAGTTTTGTGCTATCTTATTTGAGGCTGAAATTCTGTGCGTGTTAAATTGGAGGTTCAGCAGGACTGAATCCCGGCAAACTGTGTACTGAATTGCAGCTAGAATGTTGTATTCGAATGTGTCCAGTGAACTTCTCAGAGCAGGAAACTGAGAGAGAGAAATGAGAGAACACGAGATCTGGAAATTTCTCTCTGGGAAAAAGTTCCTTTTTCTCAAGTCAGGGTTTTAGATTTAGCTCCTAGTTTCTGATTAACTTTCTAGTTAATGTGTTGTCTGTTTCCACAGCAGATGGCCTTCCTCTCAACCATCAAAACCTTCTACACGGTGGGTTACAGCATCTCTACCACTTCCCTGGTCGTTGCAGTCATGGTCCTTGTTGCATTCAGGTATGTCCCTGGGAGTCGTAGACCAGAGATCACAGAAGAGTAGAGTTGGAAGGGGCCATGAAGGCCATCCAGTCCAACCCCCTGCTGTTGCAGGACACCAACTCACACCCTCCCACTCAGAGGGCTGCCCAGTTTCTTTTTGGATGCCTCCAGTGTGGGAGAGCCCCCCACCTCTCCAGGCAGCTGGTTCCACTGCTGTATCGCTCTGACAGTGAGGAAACTTTTCCTGAATCTGGGTTGCCGCAGCCTGAATGGATTACTCTGTGTCCTGCACTCTGGTATCGGTCCCGCAAGCAGAATGCAGGAGGGTGGGCAGCTGATGCAAAGGTTGCATGTATGGAATTGGCCATTTCCTCGCTCCGGGTTCTGTTCAGTACTGCCTCAATTACTCACTGCGTATTGTGACTTAGCTTTTATCAATGTCGCACTCAAATGTCCATTCATAATTAGTTACCACTTCCTGGGATGGAAGATCACTATTTAGGGATGTGTGAGGAATCCATCTGGGGGTGGGAATCCACTGGGCTCCCTGAGCTTGACTCTCTGGACTCTGGTCCACTGTGTCCAAGATCCTTTCAAGCATCGCCCGTGTCCATGGGGCACTTGCCAGGAATCAAGCCCCAAGCCTTGCCCAAGCCGGGCCCCTCTCCCTCGCCAAGTGCTGCTGTTGGCAATGGCACCGGAGGGGAAGCAGGTTGATTTCTGGGAATGGCACCTTGCAGAGCCTCTCTCCTGCTTCCCAGAGAGTGGCTGCACTTGATGGGAAAGGTTGCCGGTCGTGCAACAGGGGTCCATAAGCTCTCGAAGGCTTCTTCTTGGCTCAGCTTGCTTTTCAGGACCAGGGTGAGCAGGAGAGGAAGTCTGTGGCTGCTGGAGGGTTGGATTCTGCCAGGGTTTGCCCAGCCTTAGATGTAGGCCCTTGGCAGATGCCCAAACACAGGCTGCCCTTGGCATTGGCTTGTCTGCAGCCATATGAGAAGACGCTTCCTGGGTTTTCTTCACGGTAAAGGTGAGAGTCAGAGCAGGGACTTTGAAAGCCTAGGATGTGCTTGTCCAGGTGCTTACCTGGGAGTAAGAACTACTGAACAGGTAGTATATCTGAGCAGTAGATTTGCCAGATTGCCCTGCCAGTCTTGGAGCTCCGGCAAGACTGCAGCCCGGCCTTCTACGGTGCCTCTTCCTGTCCCCGCAGGAGACTTCATTGTCCCAGAAACTACATCCACATCCACCTCTTCCTCACGTTCATTCTGAAAGCAGTTGCCATCTTCATCAAAGACGTGGTGCTCTTCCAAACAGAAGACCCCGACTCTTGCGGCTTTTCTACAGTAGGTGATCAAACGGGGTGAACGTTTCGCTCCAGGAGGGCATGGGTCTTGCTGCTGGCGGGCCCTTTTCTCCACTCGCTGCTTCTCCAAACACAAGCTGCCCTTGGCATTTGCATGAGTGTCGAAGGCAGCTTATGGGATGGCCGTAAGAGTTCTCCCACTGGGGAGCCAGTATGGCGGAGTGCCGACCTGGGACTCGGGAGACCCGTGTTCTAGACCCTACTTCGCCTTGAAACTCCCTGGGTAATTTGGGGCCCATCACTGATTCTCAGTCCAACCTGTTGCTGTGAGGACCACACAGAACGGAGAAGCAGGGTTGCGAAAGTCCCCCTCGGTTTCTCGTAAGGAAAAGTCACTGACTCGCCCTCTCCATTTCTCAGACCGAATGCAAGATTTCCATGCTCCTCTGCCACTATTTCACAATGAGCAACTTCATGTGGCTGCTGGTGGAGGCCCTGTACATCAACGCTCTGCTCTTGTCCTCCTTTGCCCATGGGAGAAGGTATTTCTGGTGGCTGGTTCTGTTTGGCTGGGGTAAGTACCGCGACTTACGGCATGCTCCTGATCCCTGGTTTACAAGTGGACAGTCTGAACGGGCATTCCTGTGGCGCGGTTGTGATTCCGGCCCTCCTTTTCTTGCCTTTTGGCTCCAGAGAACCAAAGAGTCTCTTTGCGATGCAGATCAGCATTAGCGCTTGGCAGCCATAGGACAAAGCAACTCTAAATCCATTTAGAAAGCTGGAAGATAAGCCTCTGCTCATGTGAAGAGTGTCGGATCCAAACTGGGAACTTGGTCCCCAAATCCCTTCCTCTTGGTAACACTGTGGGCCCCAGCTGGTGAAGGGCCCGCTGGCAAGACCTACGCCAGCCCTTCTCTGGGCAGCTCATCTCCCCCGATGCCTCGTCATGGGGTCAGGGGCCAGGCGAGGCAACGGCTCTTCCTCCTCCCCTTCTTTGACTCCTCCCATCTCTTCCAAAACATCTCCTCTCTCTGGGTTGGGCTGGGAAACTATGGGAAGTCACTTTAAGGATGCTTCTAAGGTTCGTGATCCCCGAAGTTCCATTTGCATTTTTCCCAGAACTTCCATCTCCACCTCTTCAAGGTCTGCTCCTCCTCCTCCTCCTCCTCCTGAATCCCAGCCCTGGTGGTCCTGGAAAGCCCACCAAGAGCAGCACTTCACTCGCTACAGGTGTAGAAGCAAGCACACGGACCATGAGACAGCAGAGTGCGGAGCCCAGATCTTTTCTCCTCTTCCCAAAAATATATTAGGTGTTCTGCCAGACTAGGAAGAGTCTCCCTGGGGGGAACACAGGATTATTCCAGGTCCCAGCTCTGATGTCCTCTGGCTGCAGGGCGGGGACCCCAAAGACAGATCCCTGGTCCTGCCTCCCTCATGGGTGGTCCAGAAAGGACTATGCCAACTCAGAAGCCTGAAATTGACCCCGGAGAGGCCTAAAAGGGGGTCCTGGGAAGCCAGGGAGGGGAAGAGGCTGAGGCGCTCGAGCCATTCCAACTGGCAGCTCAGTTCTCATGGGGCCTCATCTAGATGGTCCAAAATGGCTGACCAGATGAGCTGCAGGGTGCGAGGTGTGGGTGGCTTCTGGGTTCAGAAGCTCCTGTGTGCTGAGCACGGTGGAGACGGGATCGTGCCCTCGGCCGTCCTCCTGCCGGGCGGAAGTGACGCCTTGCCAAGTCATGGCCCATGTTGCAGGCCCAGAGCCCCTGTGCTCTGCTTCCAGCACTTGACTGACATGTTGCACTGCAGGGGCAAGGCCGTATCCAGCTTCTGCATAGCCAGAAGTGCCTGATCCTGCCTAATCTTGGAAGCTAAGCGGTGTCTGGCCGGGTCGAAATCTGGATGGGAGACTTAAATATGGAGAACCACCCAGAGAGCTTTGGCTGTGGGAGGTATAGAAGTCCAATGTAATAACAATAAGTAAATAAATATTCTGGAGCAGAATAGAGAGAGGATGGTGCTAGTCTTACAGCTGAGGGGGAGAAGTCGGGGGACTCTAGCAAGTTAGCAAACGTGTGTGTGTGGGGGGGGGTCCTTTGCTTCTCATTCCTATGTAGAAAGGCGAGTCCTGCCTCAAGGACGCTTCGTGTCTCCCCCTAGAAGGCAGTCAGTTTTGAATGAGCAAGAGGTGAAGGCATGCAAAAAAACCCGGTTTTCTCTGGTTTGGCCCTACAGGTGTTCCAACTATTTTTACAATATTGTGGATATTCGTGAAGGTGTATTTTGAAGATATTTCGTAAGTAATCCCTGCTTTTCAGATTCACACTGGTGTGCTCACATATTTGCTCTGATTCTGACGCTCCGTTCCTACTAGCCTTGTGGGGGGGGGGGAATTACCTCAAGCTTATTGTCTTTCTGATACTTACCTGCTCGTGCAACTGCAGATAGGTAGGTAGCATAGCTTGTAGGGGTTGGATGAATGATGGTACAGACAGGTCTTTTCCTGGTGATCTTTTGTGGCATGTACAAATAGGACATTTGAACCTTTTAGAATATGATAAAACCAGTACAGAAGGCAGAAAACTGCCAAATTATTGGAAAAGGGGTGGAGTCAGTTTGGGATCCCAAGGGGATTGGATGAGGAAGGCTGAGCTGTTGCAAACTGGCCAGAGAGCTCCAGCTATTGGAGCTATTATTAATATATTAATAATATTCATAGGCCTGCAGGCCTAAGGTTCTATGCCCTTACTTTAAAGGCACAACTGTTCCTTTTAAAGGGAGAAAATGGCATTCTTGTCATCTCTTGGGAACTCAAACTTCCCCTGGGGAGGAGGAAATTATTCCAGGTATACAAGATCTAAAACTGCTGAATAAGACTAGGACAGAAGCAACTTGAACCAGAGATATTGGATGTGGCCATGGTTTGAGATGTTTTGAAATTCCTAAGGCTTCACAGTTTGAAATCCCCAACTCTGAATCTGCAACAGACTGAATTTTCCCAACTTTTGAAAAATATGACTTAATTTTATGCAGATTTTATGATGAAATATATAAATTTTAAAATAGAACTGGCCAAAAGTGCATTTCTTCAACAGGGTAAAGTGAAAAATATTTTTCAGGGATTCACATACTCTTTTGGGTGGGAAAACCTGCAATTTTGGGAGTGTGAATGTGTGCCTTTCTGAATTTGCATGGATGTATACCAAATCATTTGTGCAGAATAAGATTTTGTCAATGAGTTGAGATCAGAATGAAACTAGTCTGCTCATTCAGGGAATATAGTAAACAAAACAGAGAGAATAAACTGGGCTTCCAGGCTTTCAGACAAAGGATGTCCCAACATAAAATGACCCCCCCGCCCTGTAGAAATAGAGGAATTGGACACAAGGGGATGGATGAATTTGACAAAGTTATGAAAAGGCAATATATGCTTATTTACATTAACTATGGGACTGCAGGTGGTGCAGTGGTTTAAACCGCTGTGCTGCTGAGCTGGTTGATCGAAAGGTCGCCGGTTCGAATCTGCACAACAGGGTGAGTTCCCATTGCTCCGTCCCAGCTCCTGCCCACTTTGCGGTTCCAAAACATGCAAATCCAAGTAGATGAAAAGGTACCACTTTGATGGGCAGGCAACAGCGTTCTTGCACCTCGGTGTTTAGCCATGCCGGCCACATGAGCACGGAGACTGTCTGCGGACAAACGCTGGCTCCCTGGGCTGGGAAACGTGATGAGCACTGCCCCCTGGAGTCAGGCATGACTGGACTTCACGTCAAGAGGAAACCTTTACCTTTACCTTTACATTAACTATAATGCACTATTTTCAGGTGCTGGGATATATACCACGGATCTCCCTACAGGTGGCTAATCAAGGGCCCTATTATCGTTTCTGTTGGGGTGCGTATCAAGTTTCAGGCTTTGTCCATATGAATGGTGGGAAGTTACGGTTCGGGATGAGTGAGAGAGGCATTCAGTCTGCATTCCAGGGCACATGGACCAAGCGCACTCTTCCCACATCCAAACCTGAATGCAAACAAGGCTAAATGGACTAATCTGCCATTTTTTCCAGCTTGCAATGGTTTGTTAAAACAAATTCAAAAATGTGTGCATTCAAAAAAAAAAAAAAGCAACTGTGGAAACGGCTTTCCATAGTTGTGCTTGCACAAGATGGTAAAGAGTGGAGAGGATCTGAAGACCCCTTTACAGGCTGAATGAACAGGCAAGAGGACACTTTGGGGGTCGCGCTTGGTTCCTGAGTCGCTCTTGACCAGTTTTGTCAGCACTGAGATTCCAGGCAGGAATTCTTCCTACCCATTGTCCAACAAAGCAGGTGATGTGCCATTTAGTGGTGGGTTCTCTTTATCCAAGAACTGATTTTACAGGCCCAAGGATACTTGGTATGTTAGCACTAATCACGATGACAGGACGAATGTCTGGAGGCTAAGCAGGTGCTTGGGGTCCCTGCAGAGTGAGCCAGTTTATATACATGCTGCAGAAAGCCTTGGCTATTGGGTATAAGACAGACAGACAGACAGACAGACAGAAAGACAGACAGAAGAAGCAGGAGAAAGCTTGCCCAAGATTCTGCTGCTTGAGTCTATAAGTGAGCATTCACACCTTTAAGTCCTCGAAAAACTCTCCCTGCACAAGGAAAGAGGCGCTTAGCTGACTAGCTACCAAAAAGATAAGTTTCTGTGTGCAGAGCTTTTTCCTGAATGGGGAAAGCTTCAGTGAGGTGAACCTCCCTCACCTCCAAGCTATTCTGCAAAGCTTCCCAGGTATTCTAGGGACACAGACCCCTGCCTTTATGGAGCCAGCTGCTTGGGCCATCCGGCAGGCGTTCAGTTACTGAGCTAAGGATAACTAAGGAATCACTCCCAGGTTTTGGTCTGTGTGGATTTCTCCAATCTACAGCACCGATTACAATGCATTGCACAGAAAGTACTGTGTCTGATAGAGATAGGTATTTATTGCTATGTGCTATCAAGTTGTCACCGACTTATGGCGACCCCACAAATGAAAGCCCTGCAAAGTGTCTTATCCAGAACAGTCCCACTCAGCTCTTCCAAGCTCGAGACTGTGGCTTCCTCCATGGAGTCAATCCATCTCGTTTGTCGTTCCTTTTCTTCTTCCACCGTCAAGTTTCCCTAGCACAATTGTCTTCCCCTTTGAGTGTTGCCTTCTTATGATGTGTCTGAAGACACGTCAGCCTCAGTTTTGTCATTAAATAGAATTAGATATATATTTACAAAGTGCCCTGGAATCAAATTAGCTGGGCAAAGGAACAAACAATATAGAGTAAAACAAATTTAATGTTTTGTTAAGGCTAAATTTGCTTTCTTTCTCTCTCTTCTCCTGTCACAATCCTCTGGCACTTCTGGAACAGGTCAACTTCATTCTTTTTATCAACATCATCCGAATCTTGCTGAAAAAGCTGGACCCGAGACAGATCAATTTCAACAATTCATCTCAATACAGGTAACTGAAGAGATAAGAATGCCAGCAAATAATGCCATTTATCAAGGAGGCTTGGAGGAACAGTCAAGGTGTGTAAATTAATTTTATGTCTTGGAACGAGTGAGTGAGCAAGAGAAAAATGCGTATCTTTCTCTGTAACATCAAAACTCGGGCATCCAAATATTGGCCTTTGATTCAGGACAGTCAAGTAATAGTCCTTCTAAGAGCAGATGAGATGATAAGGATGCCATCTGATGGCCATCATTAGTCACTGCAGAGGTATCATGACCTTCTTCCCTGTTTCCTCCTCCTTTTTCACCCCACAATAGACGTCTGTCTAAGTCAACTCTACTCCTCATCCCACTGTTTGGAATGCATTACATCCTCTTCAACTTCCTTCCCGATTACACCAATGTGGGAGTCCGCCTTTACCTAGAGCTCTGCATAGGATCATTCCAGGTGAAGTATGGCAGGACGAAGGGATATTAGGTGCTATGTGGGATGCAGTGTCCTCAGGTGAGCTTTGATGAGTTGTTGCTTCGTTCTCATTTTCACCCTAAATGGACCTCTTGGCTGCTTGTCCTCCCCTCTGATCTGAGATTTGAATGGTTCACTCTCCTGATTAGGGGTACCATGTACATATTTGAAACACACTGGCAGTCAGGTTGTTTCGAGGCTGCCAATGGGATGATGTCTTCCACTCCACTGGAGGGTGGCGTGAAAACTGAGGGGTGCACGGCAGGCTGAGCGGCCCAGAGAACTCTGTCCCCCAAGGTCACGCTGCCCTTCCTCACCCTTCTGCACCACCTGCCTCTAATGGCTTCGGCGAATGGGGCGGCATAGACATTTTCTAAATAAATAAATAAATAAATAAATAAATAAATAAATAAAATTGCCCTGCCTAATTGCAGGGCTGGCTTCAGCCTGTGCAGTTTTCTTTGAGCTCATGCACATGTTATCCTCTGAACTGCCTCTTTCTGATTCCACCAACTCTACCATTAATGTTGCGGTTTCCTTAAATTTTTATATTTCAGTCCAGGCTTGGTTAGATTTTACTTACCAGCAAGATATAGGAAGGATATGGTGCTTCTTTGGACAAGCTGGATGTCGGCTCTTGATCTAGCCTTCTGGGGAGGGAGAGCTGAGATGCTGTTGGACTGCAATCCCATAATCTCCAGCCAGTATATCTGATGCACAAGGATGCTGGGGTGTTGGGCCCTAAGCCTAAGCCTAAGCCTAAGCCTAAGCCTAAGCCTAAGCCTAAGCCTAAGCCTAACCTCAGGCTGGAAAGGTAATTCAGTTCAACTGACTGCAGAGCTTTCCCTTGGATGCCTCAAGAATGTTCTGTTCCCCAAACCTTTCATCTAGAGGCGCTAGGAATGGAACCAAGACCTTGTCATTTTTCACTGGGCTCTGGCTCTCCCTGCGTGGGGAAACGGCTTAGCTTAGAGAAGACCTATGTCCAGATAGCATCCATTGCTATGCCAGGAGCGTTCCTGGGTGTCTACGGAGTTTCTGTTGGCTGGTAGCCTGACTTCTGTGCCTTTTCTTCTCCAGGGCTTCATTGTAGCTGTTCTGTACTGTTTCCTAAATCAAGAGGTAAGGTGGCTGCATGTTTTGCCTTCACTGTAATTCCCATGAATGCAACAGAGGTAAGCATCTATCCCTCCCTCCCTCCCTCTCGCTCTCTCTCCCCACATTTCTGCGATATAGCAATCCCAGGTCTGAAACTTCTATCCATGGAGATTTGGACATTTGTTGTACCATGTCAAAATTTTAGTTTCAGTTGACAAATCACTCAGAAATGTCTTGTTCACAACCTTGAATGCAAATGTGAGCACATATTCTCCAAAACTATTTGGAAATTCCCAAACATTTGCTTTCACAAGTGTGTATTTCAAAAAGTGAACACTTTAAAAATAATAGCACATGATACAGACTTTTACTCATACAGACTTTAATATCAGAATCTTTTAAAAAGGCACACTTTTAAAAATGCACAATTTAAAGGCCACGGGTTTGAAAGCGCACACTTTCGAAAGCTTGTGCTTTTTCAAAAAATGCACACTGTTGTACTTTGATCACACTTTTCTTGTTTGAAATATGCTCTTTCCCCATCCAAACGGATTGTGGCAGTGGGAAAACATGTCCGAATGAGAGCAGGACCAAGCTTTCAATGGACTCCCCTCCTCTGCAATTCTTCCCTTTCCTTTTCTGATGTGTATGTTGCCCTCTAGTGGGAACAGAAATGAGTGCCTCCCCTCCCCCCCCGTCCCCGCTGTAGCAAGGCACTAGTGCAGATGGGAGAGCCAAGAACCAACCGTACGTTTGCTAAAAGCCGGAAACGTGGGCAGCTCAGGGTCCTGGTGATTCCATGCATCAAGGCTTTCCTCAACTTTTCGAGCTAAATCGTGCCTTTTGGCATTTTTTCCCACTGAGGAATTCCAGTAAAATTTTAACAAGAGTTGAGAACTGGCAAAAACGAACTAGAAACTATATATTTAGGAATGATCATTGGTTGTGGGCGATGCTATTCTATAATCCTGAAGGAACATCTCGTTCAAAGTCTGCTCTCCTTTACTGGCTGTATCTAGAAAAGAAAATGACAGGGTTGCAGTCATGGTGGGTTTTTAACTTTCCAGGTACAAGCAGAGATTTGCCGGAAATGGCGTGGCAGCAGTTACAGATTCATGCCTGTTTGGAGGAAGAGGACAAGATGGACCATGCCTTCAAGTTCTGGCATCAAAATGACAAGTTCTGTGAGTTAGGTATGATCAGACATGTGAAAGAAGGGGAAAGTTGAATGCCAGGAAGGAAGGAAGGAAGGAAGGAAGGAAGGAAGGAAGGAAGGAAGGAAGGAATGGAGGGAGGGAAAGATTTCACCCAGATTCATCACTAAGTTTAAGGCTGTTTCCAGCAGCCAGCTGCATCTCTTCGACTCTTCAAGACTGCAGATACCATGAGGAAGGATGCTCCACAAATTCACACCCCAATTTCTCAGATTCTGCGACTGAGAACTGTCCGCTCTTGCTTCTAAAGCTCAGCTCCACATTCAGAATTCTCTAATGTGACCTAAATTCCTGAATTTGTACAGTAATCCTGCTTGCCCCTTATTTCAGCTCTTCCCTGTTTTCATGGGAAAGGGACAATGAATTAGCTGTAGAATACAAGGTTTAAGATGGAGAAGGCTCCAAAGTCAGAGACATAAAAGATGGAAATGGCTTCTCTTGAGATCGGCTGCCAGAAATGTGTGGAAGGAACCGTCCTTGGACCGACTGAAGCTTCCCATGTTATTGATATACAGAAACACGTTGGCAGAATACTGCCAAAATCTTGCCGCTGTGTATTGGGTTGTACATACAGATGCATCATCCACCTTTTTGTGTGGTGTTTTACTAATGTCCTGGAACTCTTGCCATGGTTCTCCTTCCAACCTAACTTCTGCAAATTTCCTGCTTTTCTCTCCTCTAAGTGTTTCATACCAATTCCATCCTTCTAGTAGTAGTAGTAGCAGTCGTTGATTTATTTCATTTCTCTACTGCCTGTAGGTGAAACTCTCGGGGGGGGGGGTTCGCAATAAAGTATAAAAACAATAAAATACAATAGATAAAAGATCAACAAGAATTTTAAAAATGAACAGCATAAAATACATTAAAACAATAAAAAGACCCAGCAGAGAATAAAAGAAGGGCACTGAGCTAATTGCGTCAGTCCCTGAATGACCAGAGAGGTCTTGAAAGGCCTTTGCAAGAAGCCTGCCTTAACTTGGTGCCAAAAAGTTGACAAATTTGGCTCCAGGTGGACCGAAGCAGGGAGGTTGTTCCAAAGTTGGGGGGCTACCCCGAAAATGCCTTTAGTTGCTGCTCTCCAAGCCTTTTGAGGGGGTTGGCACTCCGAGGAAGGCTCTCTCTATTTATATACATGTAGAGAAAGAAATACATCTGTTTATTTTTGTGCCTAGGGGGGAAAAAATACGTGGCTGCCCAAAACTCCAAGCGCAGGTGTTCATGGGTTAGGGTTGTTGTTGTGATGGTAAAGTGGGAGAGAGGGGAACCTTGTCAGTTGTCTGGGGTTTCTTGCAAGAGAAAGACAAGCTGAGTATGAATGTAAAATATTAATAGTAGTAGCAATAACTCCCCAATGGCATTGGCCATGCATTTCAGAGGACAATTCCTATAGCTGTCTGCACGTGGGGCAGGATTGCTGGACTGCAGGCTGAGAGGCCCAGAAGATGTTGGAGCAGATGTTGGGGTGGGGGGTTCCTACTGCCCCCATGTGTGTTGGGGGGGGTGGGGGTGGACTGAGGCGATCTGCAGAAGGGGCCCCTCGCTTTACAGTGGCTTAGTGCCAAGGGCACAAGCTTCTCGTGTGCTTTCCTGGTGTGGGCAGCCCTGCAGACTGATGCAGTGGACAGCTTTCCCTGTGCCCAAACGTCCAGCAAACCTCCAGCCCTGCTCAGCGCCCACGGATGAACTGCGGAATAAGAAGTTATAATCTTCACAAAGTCCACAGAAAAAGATCGCCTCAAGTTGTCATGGCGATGCCACCCCTCACGGGTCTCTCTCGGGAAGCGCCTTCCTTTTTCAGGAGGGGATGGGATCTTTTATCATAATTTAGGAGGGCAGTGGAGGTTAATAGGAGAATTTTCATCTGGCAGCGTCTGATAAAAAGAAAGCAAGTGTATGTTTAACTGGCAGAAAGTGTAAGATTTATCACATTAATGTAAATATCTCCAGAGGAAAGGGCGTCCCCCGCCCCCCGCTGCCACCGTCTGGGCCCTACGTAATGTGAGCATGGAGAGGGGGCAGTGGGAATTAATTTGAAGGCCTTGTCAGACTGAAACCCCCAGGCAATTAATTGAGTTTAAAGCCCAGACAAAAGAAATTACCCAGTTTCAATATGATTATTTTCCCACCGTGATGTGAAAGGACACTGCCTGACAGTGTGAAGAACTATCTGAATTTAGAGATTCGCCTCCAGAGCTCTTGGGAGTGTCAGTTGTAAAATGCAACACAATTTGATTTGTATATTTGAATTAGCATAGCATTACACCTCGAATATCTAATTATTGGCAACTTGTGCTTCTTCTTCACTCTGCTGTATTAGTCCTCACTCCACAGTGGGGCAAAACCTGAGAAGGATGGTTTAGCTCAACTGGGAGCCGATGAGAACTGGGAATACTCTTACAGCCCAAACCTACATGTATTTCCTCATAAGGAAACCCCACTGTAGTCATTGTTGCTTACTCCCAAGTAAACATGTAGACAGTTTCCTCCTAAGCCCCCTTGACTTCACTGGGCCTTCTTCGGAGTGTGATGTGCAGCAGGAATTTCATAAAAATGGTGACAATTTTGCTGATCCCCTGCTACATAAAATGCCCATCTGGCATGGCATTTAGAGGACTGTTCCTGTTTTTCCTACTTTTATGCATGCATATTATCCTACTCTGGTTTGTGAATAAAGGCGCTTAACATTACAAGCCACGTTTTCCCTCTTCTGGTCCTTTGGTTTTTATGGCATAATTTAAACAGCATTGTGAAAACTGTCCGTTAACTAGGCAGGTCTGGGGCCAGCCGGAGCTTGGAGGGGGGACCGCGTGGGACCTGCATGCAGCTGCCTTGACTTCCAACAGGAGCAGGAAGGTGGGATATAAATATAATAAATCCGTAAACACTGTTGCTCTTCTTTTCCTTGCACGAGGTTTTCTAAGCTGCTGTGAAGGTAGGCAATGCAGCAGATGCCCGTGGGGAGGAAGGGGGTGCTGCTGGCAGTCTCGTGGGGCTCTGTTCCTGGTGAGCAGTGCCCCTTTCCATGCCCCTCAGGTAGCAGTTGTTTGGCTGCAGAAGAAGGCTAGGCATGTGGGACTTGCCCCTGAGGAACACACCTGGCTGGCCGGCATTGGGCAGGGGCCAGCTAGTCATGTCCCAAGTCTACACACAACAACAGAGAACCTACAGCACGCTCGCACGACAACAGAGAATCCCCAATGGCAGGCGACTGAGTGATCTCTTGTCCAAGGGCTTCTCCTCCACCCTCAGGTAGATCAGCCTCGGAGGTGTGCATGGAGAGCACATGGATAAAAATGTGCCAACCAGGAATCCTGGTGGGAATTTTCACCTGAGGAGCAGCAGCTCTTGTTACCTGGTCATGCAGGTACTAAAGGGGGCTCCGCCACGGTCCTGGGTCAATTGCCGTTTTGCTGTGATAGACCTTATTCTTGAGACTTTTCCAGTCTCTCTCCCTTGCTGTGCCTACTTGGGCCAAGCACGCCAAGGCCCGGACCCCTTGAGTCCAACACCGGGAGCAGAGCTTGTGCGATCGCTGCAGAAGCAGCATCCTCCTTCCAGGTGGTGGTTGGGCAACCTTTGCTCTGTGAGGTTGGACTTCCTCTGGATTAGGCTGGATTTGCATGACTGGGCCAAGCATGTGGAGAGCTCCATCAATGGTGGGCGGATGGATTCCACTAGGGTTTTCCCAGCCCTACAACATGCCAAATAAAAACTCTCCCGGTTTTGCCTAATTCTACAGAAATAGGTTTTGGTGAGCAGGTGGGCCTTGATGGAGCCAAGAATGACCTCAAGGAAGTGTGACTATCTGAATGGCCCCAAAGTGAAGTTTGAGATGAATCCAGCATTCTCTTTCCTTGGGGTAATATTTGGAGCCTGGAAAATGGGGAAAACATACAAGAAACTAATAAGAAAGACTTTTGAAAGGTGCCGTGCCCAAACATGGCAAATCGTTGGAGTTGCCAGAGTGCTGTTGGGTTGCTGAAGCAACTCACAGAAGTGCTGGTGAAGAGAGCAACAAAGGCCCAAAGGCGAGTTCCCCTGAGGAAACCCCCTTTGTATTTCTCCCCAAATAGCAATGAGCTTGTTTTATCCAGGCAAACAGGAAACCGGAGGCAATCGATTTCTCCTAAAACTCACCGCGTTTCTCTTCAGATCAAAGGCAGTTGATCGCAAGTGTTCTAAGGGTCGAAAGAGCCATTAATTCTGCATTCTTGTAGCAAAAGTGGCATAGATTTCTACTTTGCAAGGCTGAAAGAAAAAGTGGAGCGCACCTGGCAGATGTTTTTGGAATGCAGAATTTGACTGTCCTCAGTGGGCACCTTCTCATGGTGTGCTTTCTGGAAGATGGGTGCTGCTCATCAGGTCCAGAAGGTATGATTTGGAAGGGGCTGATGGCATTCCATCTCTGATGGGAAGCACTTGAGGGCCTGAGCGGCTTAAGGGCAGGAGAACACCATGCATCCCATCTGGAGGCTGCCATGAAAGAAGAAAGCATAGAAGTAATATGGATGGATATATCTAAAACCTCAAGGATCTGCCCTTTGGGTTGCTCCATGGAAACCCAATGCCCACTGAGTCTCACGTGCACACCCACTCTGGGTCTAGAATGATCATGAACCTCCTAGCAGCGGTAGTCATTGGTCACAGCTACTAGGGAATGTTTGGTGTCCTTGCAGGACTATGAGGTCTGGTGTCAACTGGGAACATCTGGACAGGGCTCCTGGTTGCCCAGTCCAGACAATTTCCCATCTTTTTTTTTTAATGCAAACAGGCTTTTCAAGTTTAGTGCTCACCTGGATTTGGTTTAGTGTTGCTTATAATTTTTAAAAAGAAATACTGCAATGACGGGCTCTTTTCTTACAAAGTTTAAGCTTTCTTGTTTTAAAGCTTGGATCCGGCAAGCTCTAAGGCAGTGATGATGTTTGCGATGGAGGACGGTGACGGAAGACTGAGCTCTGGGCAAGCAGCTTAGAAATGTG